TCCAGACACGTCCGGCTTTCCCAAGATTCTTTTAAGTGGTTGGTCGGTGATGACCACCATACGATGGCCCTGGAAGTAGTGTCGTAGCCTTCTCGCTGTTGTGACCAGAGCGAGTGCCAGTTTTTCTAGTGCTGAATATCTGACTTCTGCCCCCGGTACGCCCTGCTCACATAATAAACTGGTTTCTGCACACCATTGTTGTTTCTAACGAGCACTGAGCTTACCGCTGATGGGGAAGCAGATAGGTATAGATGGAGAGTCTCTCCAGGAGCAGCATGTGACAGGAGGGGAGGTGCTGCTAGGTAGGCTTTAAGCTTTTGAAAAGCCTCCTCTGCCTCAGGTTTCCACTCAAAGGCTTTTCGGAGAGTTTTGAAAAAGGGGAGACATTTATCTGCAGATTTGGAGACAAACCTATTTAATGCTGCGATCCTTCCATTGAGGCGCTGGAGCTCTTTGGTTGAAGAGGGTGACTTCATGTCAAGAATGGCCTTGATCTTGTCAGGGTTTGCCTCAATTCCCCTCTGATTGACCATAAAGCCCAGGAATTTACCAGACCCCACACCAAAGGCGCACTTCTCAGGGTTGAGCTTCATGCGATAGGACCTCAAGACGTTGAAAGTTTTTTGGAGGTGATCAATGTGGTCTACTGCTGCAAGGCTCTTTACCAGCATGTCATCCACGTACACCTCCATTGTTTGCCCGATCAGAGACTGGAACATCTTGTTCACCAGCCGTTGGTAGGTTGCTCCAGCGTTCTTTAGCCCAAAGGGCATGACCCTGTAGCAATATGTCCCCTTTGGCGTGATGAATGATGTCTTCTCTTGGTCTGGGGGATGCATGCTAATCTGGTTGTACCCCGAGTATGCATCCAAGAAAGTGAGCAACTCATGCCCAGCGGTGGCGTCGATGAGGAGGTCAATCCGTGGCAGTGGATAACTATCTTTTGGGCATGCCTTGTTCAGTTCTGTGAAGTCGACACAGAGACGCCACTTCCCATTAGCCTTAGTGACCATTACTACGTTGGAGAGCCACTCTGGATACGCCACTTCCCTGACTGCTCCGTTATCAACCAGCTTTCGAATCTCCTTGTCCATGGCTTGAGCCCTTTCAGTGGAGGCTCCCCTTAACTTTTGGCGAACAGGCTTGTACCGCGGATCGACATTGAGGTGGTGGGTAGCTACTTCCGGGTTGATGCCCTCAAGGTCCTCATGCGACCAAGCAAAGATGTCCATATTATGCTCCAAAAATTCAACCAACAGGGGAGCCAGCTCTTCAGGAAGGGAAGAGCCAATGTAAATTCTTCTGTCTGGGTGCTCCTTTTTTAAGACCACAGGGATGAGTTCCTCGACTGGTTCTCCTCTTTCTGTGGCGGAGTCATCCCTTGGGTCAAGGACCTCAACTTGCAATGCTTCTTGGGGCTTCCTAGCCTTCATAGAGGATACATAGCACTCTCTGGCTGTTATTTGGTCCCCTTTGACCTCTCCGACTCCATTTAAGGTTGGAAAGCGGAGAACGAGATGGTAGGTAGAGGGCACAACTCTTAATGTGTTAAGAGCTGGTCGCCCTAATATGATGTTGTAGGCCGACGGGCATTCTATTACCAGGAAATTGACCATGACTGTGGAACTTCGGGGTGTTACTCCGGCGGTGACGGGAAGTGTGATGGATCCAAGGGGATACACCTTTTCCCCTGAGAATCCAATGAGGGGTGACCTGATTGGCTGTAGCCTGTCCCTGCCCAGATTGAGCTTGTCATAGGCCTCTGCAAATAGGATATCTGCAGAGCTGCCACTATCTACCAGGATCCTGTGCACATGAAAGTTGGCCACCGTCATGGTGAGCACCAAGGGGTCATCATGGGGGTGTTGGATTTCCTCCAGGTCCTTGTTTGAAAAAGATATGACCTCGTCGCTTTCCTGCTTCGGCACCTTAGATGGGCGCATCTCGTAGACATGTCTTGCCTTCCTGGCATGAGCCTTTATCGCGGAAAGTGATTCTCCTCCACCTGCTAGTCCCCCCGAGATAGTGTGGATTTCCCCCACAGGCTGCTGATCTTCCTGGTTGTGAGGTTGTGGTTCACGTTCCCTTCCAGCAACGTATTGACGCAAGTGACCACGCTGGATGAGCTCCTCAATTTGCCTCTTGAGGTCGTAGCAATCGTCGGTGTCATGCCCGTGATCACGATGGAAGCGGCAATACTTGTTAGGATTTCTGCGATTTGGAGGAGACTTCATTTTTCCAGGCCACTTTATCGCGGGGTCATCCTGGATCTGGAATAGGATGTGTTCCACGGAAGCATTGAGGGGAGTGAAAGGTTGACGGTTCCTCTGAGGAGCAGGACCTAGCCGGTCCTTGACAGGGACTTTCTCTGTCCTGCCATATTTGTTGCTGGTTTCCTTCTTATCGTCCTTCTCTCTTTCCTTCCTTTTCTCACCAGCTCTGGAAGACTCACCCCGCCTGGCCCTTGTGATATCTTCTGCGTTTATGTATTTTTGGGCCTTGGCTAGCAGCTCTGGCATGCTCTTCGGTGGGCGCTTCAGAACTGAGAAAAGGAAACTTGATGAACGGAGGCCACCCAAGAAAGCGGTCATTGTCACCTTGTCGTCAGGTTCATCAACTTGGAGTACCTCCTCGTTAAAACGAGTGAGGTAACTCCTCAGGCTCTCCTCGCGGTCCTGCTTTATGCTAAGCAGATGTGTAACTGGTTTCTGGTGGCGACGCCCTCCTATGAAGTGTGAGACGAATGATCTGCTAAGCTCGGCGAAAGAGGCAATAGAGGCGGGGGAGAGCTTAGCAAACCACTGTCGGGCAGACCCCTTTAATGTGGTTGGGAATGCCCTGCACATGATTTCGTCTGGTACGTTGTGCAATTGCATCAAGGTCTTGTAAGTGTCGAGGTGGTCCAGTGGATCCTTTGTTCCATCAAAGGTCTCCACAGATGGCATCTTGAACTTCTGAGGGAGGGGGTAGTTCGCTACATCAGATTTGAAAGGGGTATCAGTACGCCTTACCAGGTGGTCAACAGTCTCGGGTCCCTGGGCCTTCATGGCGTTGAAGACATCACCGAGTTGATTTTGTACCTCCTTTATTTTCTCGTCCCAATGATTGGGGGCTCCTCTGGAATGATCATGGAAGTGGCTTCCATGCCCCATGCTTTGGTTTTCACCCTCATCCTCCTGGAGATAAGGGTCCTCTTCCTGGAAAGCAAGGGGAGGGGGAGGTGCAGCTCCCTCATGTTGGGCTTCCTGAAGTGGGGTGCCCAATGGGGCACCCGGGCGTGGTGCTCCTTGATGTCCAGGATGTGGAGCTCCTTGTGGTGCTCTATGTTGTGCACCTCTGTGGGGCCCTCCATGTTGTGCACCTCCATGTGGTGCTCCACGTTGGGGTCCTCCATGTTGTGCACCTCCATGTGGTGCTCCTCCTTGGGGTCCTCCATGTTGTACACCTCCGTGTGGTGCTCCTCCTTGTCCAGCAAGTATGAGTTGCAGTAACTGTTGGTTTTGAGCAACCAGTTGCTGCATGGTCTCCAATATTTGTTGGGGATTCGGGGCCAAAGTATCCGGAACAGGGTTGATAGGCGGGGGAGCAACCTCTTCCTCTCGTGGAGGATTGTCTTCGTGTTGGTTCATGGATCGAGTAGTGATCGCCATTAGTTAATGGCCGTAATGTTCAGGAGTGAGAATTTTGTCGATTCCCACAGACGGCGCCAAACTGATGATGCACAAAAATAGTTTTGTACACCACCTGTCAAGTATAGATAATAAATGCAATGAAATCAACGAGAAAATTGAAGAAGACACAATTTATAGTGGTTCGGTCAATTCGACCTACGTCCACTCTTCAATGGCTTCAGTTGCCGGGTATTTTATTGATTCAAGGGTATGGAGAATGGAGATACAAGCTTTGAGAGAGAGAATGGAGAATCAAAGAAAATGGTAATCTCCGGTAGTCGGTTCGTCTTCTGTATGACTCTGGTGGTCTGTCCCTTTCTCTCTCAGATTAGAGCCATTTTATAGTAGATAAGAGATCATTCTTGTGGAGATCATAACATATCCTCAAGGCTTCTTTATCGCAGCTTAGAGATTATCTTCGGTGGAGATCACGACTTATTCTCAACGGAAGGAAGAGTTTGGGGAACTCTTGAAGGAAACGTGGTCAAAGATTGGACCGTTGATAAGCTTCTCGTGCTCTCTTCTTGGTGACGTGCTAAGCAAGAAGTCCAACCGTGCTTGGGCTCCCTAAGGCGGTGTAGATAAACTTCCCGTGCTCTCCTCTTGGTGACGTGCTAAGCAAGAAGTCCAACCGTGCTCTCCTCTTGGTGACGTGCTAAGCAAGAAGTCCAACCGGCCTTGGGCTCCCTAAGGCGGTGTAGATAAACTTCCCGTGCTCTCCTCTTGGTGACGTGCTAAGCAAGAAGTCCAACCGTGCTCTCCTCTTGGTGACGTGCTAAGCAAGAAGTCCAACCGGCCTTGGGCTCCCTAAGGCGGTGTAGATAAACTTCCTGTGCTCTCCTCTTGGTGACGTGCTAAGCAAGAAGTCCAACCGTGCTCTCCTCTTGGTGACGTGCTAAGCAAGAAGTCTAGCCGGCCTTGGTCTGTCTTGGACTTGGTGGGTTCACGATGAGGTTGGGCTCCTCAACCGGGGTTGGGCTTTAATACATAAATTGGACTACTTGGGCTTAACCCATCAAATACTATCAAGTAACCCACTGGGAAGGGACCATGGATTACTCTCTTCCAATCCTTAATATCAATGGCCATATATCTAGAAGTCATTGAGTGCCCAAACAAGTTTGGTTATGGAAGTGAAGATTAATTCTTCAAATCTTGGGGAAGAGATAATTTGTATCATTCTAATTGTCATGTAGGTAGGCCACTTTTAATTGCATGTTGATAAATATGAGACACACCTCCATCACCCTAGTTCCAGAAAAGTAGCTCCAGAGAAAATTAATGAAGTAAGCAGGGTCAGCAAAAACAAGCGTACTTACATGGCACATATCACGACTTGTATTGGCACCAGTGAAAGTCAGTGGGGAAACCATAAATCTTGATGTACTTGGTGTCAGAAGACTTCCCAACTTTAGCAGCTGAAAGCCTAAAATCTGCTCCCCACCGATCCATAAAGAGGCGTGCTCTGTCCATGATACCATGCATGAGAAATAAATAACTAGAAAAGAAAACGCATAGTTTAGAACACATATTCCTTAAAAACAACCATAAAGTATAAGATTCAAGCTGTTACAGACCTCATCTTGCATCCTAATTGGTTAGGTAAAGAAATTCCCATCACAACCTCGTTTGCTAGCAAGCCTCCACAATGGTCCTGTTCTCATCCATATATTCTAACCCCACTTTTTAACCTTTTTTGCTCTATTTCTCCTCCTTTGGTGCCTTAATAAATTTAACTTCTCCCTAGCAACCATCAAACCTTTGTGCAAATCTTGGGTGCTTTGATCTCGAGATATCAATCCCCTGTCTTGTAAATCCATCAAAATCATTTCACCCTTCACAATATTGTTCTTGGTCAAGAGAGCATCGGTAAGAACAGTAAACGTGGTGGTATTAGGGCAGAGGTCCCTTTGTTTTATCTCCTCATATAGATCAAATGCTTGTACAATACCACCACTAGCACAAAGGCCAGTAATGAGAACATTTGTAAGCAACAACGTCTAGATTTACACCATGAAACTCCATTATATTTTTTAGTTTTACAGCCTCTATCGGGTTAAATTCTTTACAGAACTTATGCATCAGAGTTGTGAAAGTGGTGATAGTTGGAACAAGCTGCACCCTAAGCATGCAATCAAGAATCAGCATTGCTTCTTCCATTTTCCCACACTGCACAAGCCCTCTAAACATAGCACTGTCAGCCACATTTCGGGAGCCAATTCCGAGAGCCTCCATTTCATCTTTTAGTTTGAATGCTCCTTGTATATCTCCCACTCTGCACATACCAGTAATTAAAGTAACATATTGTCTATTAGTAGGTATAAAACCCTTCTCCAACATTTCAGGCAGAAAAGTGAGGGATACTTGAAAGTCATATGTCCTGTTGATGCCTTTTAAGTATGGAACCGTAAGTGTCTCCATCGGGCAAAATTCCAAGAGAATTCATAGTATTTAAGAGATCAAAGGCCTTTCCCATCTCACCATTGCTGCTGCATTTGGTGATTAGCATGTCAAAAGTATGCTTATCAACCGCTGTACCTTCCATAACCATGTTTCTCAAAATTTTCACGGCAATGTCCAGCACACTTGACTCGCAAAGCCCATGAATTAGAGAATGGCATGTCAATTCATTCGGAACAAAACCTTTCCTAATAAAGGTATTGTATGTTGCAAAGCATCTTGGTATATCCTGTTGTTTTGAATAGCCACGTAGGAGAATATTATATGTAGCCAAACAAGGGCATAAACTTCCACCTTTCATCGTAGAAAAGTAATTGTTCACCTTTTCTATGCACCCTATTCTGGAATAGCCATCTATAATTACATTTAGTACAACTGTATCAGGGTTGATACCTTTCTTTAGCATCTCTTCAAAAAAATAAGCAGCAGTCTTTGGCTGGCCTGCTTTGAAAAGCCCATCGATCAAGCACGTATACATAACATGGTTTGGAGAGAAAGATCTTTCCATTGCTTTTTCAAACAGTAGCATTGCAGCAACCATCTTGCCCTTTCTACATAATCCAGCAAGAAGATTCGCATATGTGTACCTATCAGGGAGCACGTTATTGGAGATCATCTCATCCAAAAGGATTATTGCCACTTGCAAATTCCCTGATTTACAGGCCTCAGCCAGCAATGTGTTGTAGACAACAACATCCACACAGCAAGGGATGTAATGGAGTTTTACTCAAGAATTTTACAGCCGCTTTGAAATGTCCTCCTTGGCAGAGTCCTTTCAGTAAATTCCCATATGTATAATGACTAGGGTGGTGACCCATCTTAATCATTTCATCAAACAAGGAAAAGGCTTTCAACCCATTGCCTACTTCTCCATAGCCATTTATAACAGTGTCTAAAGTAACGCAATTAGGAACTGGACCGATCCTATTCATGTGATGCATGAATTTCTCAGCCTCCCTTACCTTTCCGGTTCTACAAAGAGAAGCTACTATTGTGTTGCGTGTGAAAATATCCGCACCATAACAATTCAAATTCATCACCGCATACAATTTCAATGCTTCGTTAACATTTCTCTGCTTGCAAGAGTTATATATTAACATACACCACATGATATTGTTTAGTTCAAGTACAAACCTACACATCTAGCATATTATCTGTTTCACATTGTCTCTCTTTGCTGCTCTGCAAAATCCATTTATAAGAACCAAATATGTGATAACATCCGGACTCACACCATCCTTGAACATTTTATTGCTTTAGTCTTGTATTTCAATACTTCGCATGTAGCCTTGTCCCAACTTGGTCTTGAACCCGCCCCACCCTTCAAGAGATTAGAAAGGAGATACCATTCAAATTAATAAGTTTACAGGTGCCATTATTCATTGCAAATTTAAATAATTATTTCCTTTAGTTTCGAATCCAGAGGCATAGACAGACAAGGAACACATATAGCAAACAAGTGGATGAGACTATACTTCCTGAAGGATTGCATGCTATCCCATTGACATCGTTCAAAACCTACAAGTTTCTAAATAAAATTAATAACCAAATGGATAAAAATTTCTTGACATTAGATGTGAGAGAAGAAAGCCAATATAGAAGTTTATGCTCTAACAACTGATAAATAAAACAATTGTAAAACGCCCAACATAGTTCAAATAATTTAATTTCAAAGGAGAGGAGAAAACCTAATGTTTACACGGCATTCATCACAGGATTGAATGCCTGCAATGCTGGGGTCACATGCATTATAGAGAAATTTATCTCAACCAAAGCCAAATCCTTCACTAGCTTCATGGATGGCGAGTAGCAAGCGCTCTTGAAGCTGATCCTTGGAAGTATACTCGGGAAGGTCTAGTTGGTTAAAGCTGGAAAAACCCGACATAAAATAACATGTAATCAATCATTTTGCAGCAAGAAATGAAGTATAGATATAGTCTCAAGTCTTAACACCGCATCTATGTCACATGGACTAGTCTGGCTACATGTGGGTCATGTCAACACGTCACAAGACATAATGACACAGGCATGGGATCTGAGTTGGACATGGCACTCGTTATATCGGATATAGCTAAGCAAACTATCTCGGTAACTAGGGCTGACATCCAATGAAGTGCAAAGCTACTCTCCAAAATTTGTAATGGCCTCATGTGTATGGATTCGAATAGATGCTTATTTAAATATAGTTGCAGGGGAGGGGTGAGGGTAAGGGTGTGTATGTGCTAGTGTGCCTGTTTCTCCAGGTTCGGTAGAACAAATCGAAATGGAGATGACACAGGCTTGAACAATCCCTCACTGACTGTCTGATATTTTTGAGCGGTCATAATTATCATTAAGTCCCACGCCATTCAACTTGCATCCAACAATATCGTCACAGTAATTTTAACCTGCATAAAACATTGACATAGAGTGTCACTTGTTCCCAATGTTTCGCCTTACCCCTACCCCAATCTTTGATCACTTTTCGAATGAATCCCATTATGCTAAGATTTTGTGTTGAAGAAGGTCCAACGCCTAGACATGTACCTATACCCGACACAAAGCACCCAAGTCCATGTAACATACCACTGCTTATATCAATTGATCTTAGCACTGACCAGGTACGAGCTGATGGCAGGCACTCAGGAGCTCCATATGCCTTGTGAATCTGAAACCTTTGGGGACCAGAAATGCCTTGCAATGCTTTAAAACCCTCCAAAGGAAACTGAGAAACCAAAACACAGGTTTAATGGCTTTCGGAATTATAGAATTCAGTAGAAGCTCGCTATTATACTGAAAAATCCATGCAGTTTCCTACACCGTCATTAGATCAGTCAGCTAAACCTCTTTCAACAAATTGTTATCAGCTCAACCGGCCACAGCGATTTAATCTATCCCAGGATACATCAATCTTGCATATGCATATATTACATGAAACATCCCAATTCCCCAACAAGAAACCTCATATCGCACCACAAGGAATTGGCTTCAATGTACCAAACCCCCTCTGTGCAAATATGAAAATGGAATCAATAAAGTCAATCAAACTTAAGTCTAGGCATATCTCGAGCAACACAGACCACATTCAAGGAACAAAATTTCAAGATTGAATCGTTCAAGGTGCTTTGAGATATTTCGTGATGTTTTTGGCACTGATGTTTCAGAATGTTTCAATATATTTAAATTTAATCAATGTTTCAGAATATTTTGGGCACAAATACTCAATATTTTTTTTTTGCATTCCATTTCTAAAACATTTTCCAAACATTTCTATTTCCTAGATGACCAAAATAATGCATCGAAACAAAATTTTGACATTTGACATGGAAAAGGCTCAAAAAATCATTGATAGAATATCAGTAACATTTATTGGACATCAAACACACTAATCCGTCTTCATTCATCATAATGAAATACAACATTCCTGTAGATAAGCCAGGATATTTGTACAGATACGCTGGGGGAGACAACAAAGTCAGAGGTGGAGGGGGGGTTGGGGTTGGGGTTGAGGTTGGTTGGACATCCATGTTTAATTATTCAACTGAGCATAGTCCCACAGCCTCCTACACGGAATAAAGCCCAGCTGTCCACAGAAAGGGCAGTAAAAAACAGCAAAAAGGTTGGTAAAGAAGCAGTTCCAAGATAATTTTGGACAATGTAGAGAAACAATATGGTTTCAGGAGTGATGATATTAATGTCATGCCTCGAGTTACCTTTGATGTACCAGTTACAAATTGTAAGAATCTTGCCATGTCTTCCTTGTTAAAGGCTTTGACAACCTCCCAAAACCACTGAACAATAACTGATGCTGCTGTGTAGCCAGTATACTCGGAGTTGGCCTTCAGATCATCGACTGTAATTAAAGTCATGTCACTCGGATATCATTGTGAAAAATAATTATAAGGCATACATTGAATAAGTGGAAGGTAAGCCGACTCACAATCAATTTCTGGAAGCCCACTGATTAGTAGCTCAAGCTCTTTATCATTAAATATGACCACACACTGAGTTCAAGTACCCCCCTGGGGCCACCAAGAGGAAATTATCCTATTAATTGCCCAATAAGGGATCGGATGACTGCATATGCATTGGACGATTGGGTGCTCGAAGAGGCTCAAATATGTCCTTATATGGAAAAGCTCACACAAGCAGACTCAGAATCAAGCATCAGAGCCCTGTAAATTAAAAAAAGCGCTAAACAATGGATGAACACAGTAATTGTGCACGAATTTGTACTTTCATACCTCTGTTTTCTCATAGAGAAAGGGTTTTTCTTCATCCGCATCCATTCTAAATGTCAGATCGGGGATATCACTTGCATTGTTCTGAAAAAAAGAAAATTTTAAAAAACTGTCATACCCCCAACAAAGAATGCTAATGTCAGACCAAGAGAGACCGAATTACTAGAAATCACCCACCTCCAGCATCCACTTCAAGTTTTTGTAGTAATCAGGATCAACAGCTTCAATATCATGATAAGTCACTTTTACTCCAAGAATGTGCTTGTAAAAGGACCGAGTGAAATAAACATCCAACAGTTGCCCATCAAACAGTGCCTCAGCAACCTATAAGAGGGATTGTGATACAGACATTAAAATTATAACATAAGAAATGAGAATAGACACCATAAAGAAAATCCCAGCTCAGAATTCAAGGTGACCACAAAAATTACCACGCGGCCAACAAATTTGAAGTATGAAAGATGTTCAGTCTGATAGACAGAATTAGGGTTCGGTTGGAAGGTTGCATTGTTTCCCACAGTTGTGAAAAGCAAAGCCCCTTTATCAAATATAATTCTTGACAGTAATTGATACCACTCTCTCGTCAACCCACCAGCATCAATACCCTCTTCACCCTGAAAATGCACATTCAAGCGTCCCTGCAGGTCTTGATTTGGTCGCATTCGCAACTGATTATACGAGTCCTCTAAAACATATGCCCGTCGAACGCTAATCCGCAGTGGTCCAGATAAGTGTTGTTCATGCTGCTGCCTAATTCTTGAGCAAAAAAAAGCCCTTTTGTTGTCAAAATCAATCAGCCGGAGGGCTTTCAGCATCATACAAAGTGATTTCTCCAACAAGCCAGGATTCTGCCAGACAAAAGCATTCAGCAGCCGGCGATGCTTCTCAGCAAACCTTGCAAATGTGACAGCACCATCAAGCCTCCTCTGAGAATCCACTCCACATTTCATAGACAACGGAGATGAACTCCCTGTGAACTCCTCGACTTCTCTTGCAGTTGAGTAGGAAGCATGATCTTGCTGCATGATGGAATTGTTTGCTTGTAGTTTTTCACACAAAACAAAGAAAGCCTCAATAAAAGGCAAGAGTCTCTGGGTTCCGGGAGGAAGAGGAGGAGATGATAGAGACGAAGAACCCTGTACTTGCTCCCCAACATTCATAGTTGACGTAATTGGCGAAAAAGAGCTCTGTGCCAGCTCTGTCTCGGTTGTACTTATACAGTCACTCAATTCTTGCCACAATGGCTCAAGTGCAACATACAACTTCCACAAGGTTGCATGCTCATCCAGTTCCTCACCACTCTCCTTAACCTTATTCTGATCCACACTTGGTGAAGAGAGTGAGCTGAGAGTCTGCAGAACACGAAGGATTGCAGCCCCAGCCATTGATCCGGCACTCAAACCCAGCATGTGTGTATTCCTTATTGTGGTAAGCTCACTGACGGCCGAGTTGCTCAAACTATGAGCTAAATCTGAAAGCTCCATAATAAAGAATTTTCGATGGGAAGCAGCAACCAAGGCCAACTTTTTCAGCACCTCCCCAGCAATAGTGTAAACTTTGTCTGAGAGCCTGATCGATAAAAAGACTGGGTTACACACTCAAAGAGTGCAACAAAATACTAGAAGCAAAGAACAAAAAGAAGGGGAAGAGGTAAGGAATTGGAAATACAAGGAAAAAAATTCAGATTTATTGAGAACAGCAGGCTTTTGCAAACAGAGGCTTGCTATTGTTTTTTTTTTTTTTTTTTTTTTTTTTTTGGGGGGGGGGGGGATACGTATATTGTCAGAACTCAGACTCTAGAAATAAGACTAAGGCAGAAATAATACCCTTCATGGCCAAGAAGGCTGGGCTGCACAGATTGTGGCATCTGTAAGAAGATATCATACATATTGGTGCTTCTCTGTCCCTCTGATTTATGTAACTCACCACTTGCACTTAAATCACCTTGAATAGCTTCCATTTCTGACAAAGGAGGATCTTTTGGGACATCACTCACAGTTTCATTGCCAGACAGATTTTGAGAACTGACTGCAGCTTGTTCTGAATTAGATTGACAATCTAATTTTGATGCTGCAGTATAGACAACTACTTGGAGCAGACCCATGACCTGCACCATACGAATATTATGAAAACAAATAAATCTGAGAAAAGAGTAAAATGCAAGCCACTTCATGAGGTTGAATGATAGCACCATTTTACAGGAGCTTACTCACACCTGTTCGAGATGAGCAATGCTGCGCAAGAAAAGCGGTTGACTCAAGAGTTTAAGAAACAGTATCACAGGAACATCCCCCTTCCGAGAATCTCCTAAAGAGTCTGACGAATATCCTAGTTCCACAATTTTCTCCTTGCCTTTATCCTTCTTGGTTTCCAAATATTTTTGATTTGATGACTCTGGAATAAGTGACGGATCAAAGTAAAACAAGATATTGGCAACAGCAGAATGATTGGCAGCCAGATAAGTCAAAATCTCAAGAATACGACACAGCACCAGGGGAGGCAGACCTGCAAACGAACAAACTTGAGAATTAGAGGTCAGCATGTTCACTTATTTGGGAAAAAAAAAATCTCTTCATATAAAAATCAAACAAATGTTGTCAATCTAAAAGCAGTAGGTACCGTCCAACAACTGAGATCGACCATATACAACATTGGACTGACAACCATATAGCCTCAGGGAGTTAACTGTCAACAATCTGCCAACTGGGCCTTCAGTCTCTGGCCCAATCATGTCAAGCAGAAGGTGAACTAGAATTGCCCTTGTACGGCTATGTGCACATAAGTTTAACAGAAATCTCTGCAAAAGGCCATTCCCAAGAGGCTGCAAGCATATTAAAGAAATAAGATTCACCACTTAAGTTGAACATCAACAGAGTTTACAAAATAAATATATGAAAATTGTATGCCCAACCAAATTAAAGAAATTATGCAGAAAATTTTGTTCCAGGTTCTAACTGCAATAAAAGTTCCAAAAAATCAAAGTTCTGAGCTATTCAAAAATTTATCAATTTACAATAAGAAGTTATTCACATCAGGAAACGCCATGGCTCCATCATCTCAACCAAAAACAAAAGTTAACATGAAACCAAAGCCAATTATCCTTGGTTCATTCTTTCAAAAGTAACAAGAATTAACTAAAAGATATTAAGAAGTTCCAGGTTGGAAAAATAAGAGATCCTTCAAAAAAGAAATGAATTGTCCACTAAAGATTTTCCCCAAAACCCCCCCCCCCCCCCCGAGTTCCCTGAGGAAGTATTCCACAAGAAGATGAACCGAGACAAAAGTAATTTCCATCCAACCCCTATACTAAATCTCATTTTTTTGGTTGGGCTTTTTTGTTTGCTTTGATCTCTTGAACAACAAATTAGCGACTTGATGAACTTCATGTGTACAGTTACATATATACGTTGCATTCTCACAAACATATCAGCTGGTAAGCGGGGTAGCTCTCAAATTTTGGCCACCAAATAAACCAATAAATGGGATATGAATCACCTGCGCTAATCGTAATAGGCGGATCAATGCTTTCAAAGCATTTGCATCCAAGAGTGGCTCCCCTTCAACTTCAAGCTCTCTGCAAGAGCAGAAGATCCCCTTCGGCCAATCGTAATGCCAACATCTCTATCCATCACTGCCTGTCTGTCAAACCCCAAGCCCGTGGCTACTTCCAAACAAGCTGCGAGCCTGATAATGACTCATTTCTCTATCCCTCAACATTTGCGCTTCAGCAAGTAATGGAGAGGGCAATGCTGACAGAACACAAAAACCACAAGAAACCACGAAGCTTTTTCAGATAACTTGTCTCTCCATTCATCAGGTCCAACGGTTTTATCTATAGACAGAGAAAGAAGTCGATGTAGAACATGATGCACTATGCCACCATGTCCTAGACTATCTGGTTGATTAGATCCCCGGGGTGGGTGGACCATTTCCAAATCCCGTCTCAGTATAACCCCAACTGCATGCACATACATCAAAAGAATATCACTCAATAACTTGAGGACAAAAGTCACCTTAGCTAGCCCTGCTGATCTTTCTGATTGACTGTCTGATTCAATCTTATTTGCCTCATCAACCTTCGATTTACCCTTTACCTTGGTAGCAGGTTCATCAACCTCCATTGCACTTGGATAATTTGTGCAATCGTCCTCACCGCTTGGTGAAGGAAATTTCATTACAATTTCAAGAAGATGATCAATTACCATAGTAAGACTTGCAGGAATTCTTTTGTGGCCTTTAGAACACTTAGCTGGGCCATCATGGGTTTTATTTTCAGGGATTCGAACACATTCATTAGAAGATACCCCCAGTTCAACACCAGATACCTTTGACTTTTCCTTATCTTTCTCTTTCTTCTGATAACACAACAAAGGTCCTTCCTCCTGATGACTCCAACTGACAAACAGCAGCTGCTGCTTTCATTAAGACCTCTGCATCTCTAGACATAACAGGTGACATTGATGTCAAAAATGCACGTGGAGAAATACGACCAGTATGACGATTTCCACTTAGAGTTTGCCGTATCTCCAATTCCATGGCTGTCTGCAGGGTCTGAGGATCCTCAAGGAGATGCCGAATGATAGCAGATGCCAAGGTATCATACCCAGGAAAGAAGCAACTTCTTGGAAGGCTAAAAAAGAGCAACCAAGCCTCCATTTTCGAGAAATTGCAGAGCCAGAGAATGTTTTTGTCAACCGAGCACATAATTGTAAAACAGACTGCATGACCATAGCTGGGACATGTTGTCTTATCAAGTCACAAGCAACAACCAATACCCTTCGACTCTCGTCAACAGTCAAATAGCCAGTAGAGTTTCCAAAAAATTCTCTCAAATGAAGTATCAGAGTCTTTATCATGGGCTGCTGGAGTTGGATTTCTCTCTTTTACTGCTTCTGAAACAGACAATGAAACATGCTCCCCAGATGAGTCAGGTAAAGGTCCCCCAGGAGTTCCCTCTGTAATATCAGCAGATATTCTAGGCCTGGATTGCAACAAATTATCCAAGATAAGTAGTAGAGCACTAACACATTTTGGTACCACTAGCTCATTTCCTGACTCAGTTCTTGCTTTGAAGTTCATCAGAATATCGATGGCTACATTGGCAATACCATTCTTTGCAACGATCTCTCGCGTACTTCCATCTTCAGAAAGAAGCAATGCTAAAGTATGCGATATCATACACAAAGCACTGGCATCCTTAGAAAATTCCAATGGGCAAAGCTTTAGCTCCTGAATAAGATAAGAGATCACTCTTGGGCGATCTTCACCTTTGTTCTGACTGCAAAGCGTAACAAACAAATCAGTCAAAGGAAAAGCCATCCAGTCACTACTCTGAAACAATTTCATCGTTGCAGCAAGAATGTCATCCACAGGGGGTTCCTTTGTTCGTCCATCGTCTTTGAGGGTATCGATGGACTTATCAATGCTTTCAACTTTAGATGTCTCCGATGAACTTCCTAGTGACAAAGCAAGTGCCCCGTGCCAATTCATCATCCTCCTGAACAGGATCTTCAACATGACTAAACAACCATTCCATGGCCGTCTCAACACTATTTGTTTCCACCCGTCTCAGTGCTTCCTCTGCTCTTGCCCTGCTAAAACCCATCTCCACAATTGTGGCAATAGTAGCTTCATCAGGTGGGGGTGCTATATAGCGTTGGTTTGTACTTCCTGACCCACCATTGCGATTGCACTTCACATCTCCAACACCACAGTATACATGAGTAACAAGCGAAACAATAGAGGCAATGAAACCCGGATTACACTTTGGAAACATAGAGTGGTTCCAGACAGGAAGTATTACATCCAGAACCTGAGACTGCAGCATACGGACAAACACCTCTGGGTCTCTTGGAACAGGAAATAACCCAATTGATAAACCAACTGCAACAGGCTGAACAAGTAGCTGAGCCTGGGATGCAGAGTTTGGAGATAGAAGCAAAGAAGAATTTACAAAATACTCCAGTAAACTGCAATAGCTCTGCCATGTATCAAGCAGCCATGGACTGTGAGACAACTTGCTTCCCTCAACACCTTTCCCTTGATTAATACCAGATGCTGGAATAGAGTAAGGCAGTGTCCATAACAATTGACTTGTAGCCAATGCAGTTCCAATGCTCTTTGAAGCTAAACTCAATAACCCAGTTTCAGTTCTTTGATGGTTTGGCGAAGTCAATCCTTTCACAAGAGCAGTCAAGAAAGACCGCAAAGAAGAAGCAAGTTTGTTAAGAATTTCTAAAAGAGCAGAATATCAACAATTGCTTAGCAAATGAATTACATCACTACACAAGAAACATTGGTGCGTCACCATCTTCATTGACATATATATAAATAACTTGTTCATATGTTGATATAAAATTGACCACCAAAAAAATACAAAAGAATATATAAATCAAATTTTACTCGCGGGAGAACTCAAAATTCAAATCTACAGTTTCTGATATAGATGTGGCTTGGTAAAAACGAGAGCAAGATTATGGTTCTCTCCCCCATATGCTCCTACTAACTCCACTACAAGGACATGAATAACCTCCAATGATAAACACATGCACACACAAAAACAAGCCACACAAAAACAAGCCTACAAAGATGCATGGATCAAACAAAAATACACAGCACACTAATACACAAGAAAAACACACAAAGTGTACAAATACATTAATAAAAGAAGAGTACATAATATACACAGAGATACACATAATAAAAACACACTGTTTCACATAAAAAGCATATCCCATAACACACCAAAAGATATACACATACTATACAACGATACACCACATAGTAAAACACACGGAGTGTAGATATGAAAATATACACACAAAAAATCATTTATAAAAGAAAAATACATACCATACACCAATACACATTTTTAAACACGGACAAACTATACACATGAAAATACAAACAAAATCATTGATAAAACATAAAACATATAAACAAAAAACTCACTACCTAGGTAACCATCTATGTACAAGTAATCATTAACTCCACCAATTGCAGACCACAAACATGTCAAAGAACATCTCAACGAAGAAGAAAAATAATGATTGAAAAAGAGGAAAATAGTAGAATATTCACCAATAACTTATATATATTGATATAAATTGATTGCCAAAAGAATAGAAAAGAACATATAAATAAAATTTTACTTGCGAAAGAACTCAAAATTCAAATCTATAATTTCTGATATAGATTTGGCTAGAAAAAATGAGAGCAAAATTATAGTTTTCTCCCTAGTCTGCGCTCCTATTAATATTAACTCCACTACAAGGACATAAACAACATCCAATGATAAACACGAAGCACACACAAAGCATACAAAACAAGCTTACAAAGATGTATTGATAGAAGAAAAATACACAATGCACTAATACATAGAAAAAAAACACACACAAAGTGTACAAATACATTGATAAAAGAAAAGTACACAGTAACACAGAGATACACCTAATAAAAACACATATAAATACACATAAAAAATAAACTGTTTAACATAAAACACATATCATAACACACCAAAAGATGCATTGATTGAAGAATACATAAATCACTAATATACAAAAAAAACACATTGTTTCACATAAAACAACACACTAATACACAAAAAAAACACACACAAAGTGTATAAATACATTGATAAAAGAAAAGTACACAGTACACATAGAGAAACACATAATAGAAACACATTGTTTCACATAAAAAGCAAATACCATAACACACCAAAAGATATACACATACACAATACAATGATACATCGCATAGTAAGACCCACAAAGTGTAGATATGAAAACAAACACACAAAAAATCATTGATAAAAGAAAAATACATAACACACATTGATACACATTATTAAACACAGATAAACTATATACATAAAAATTCAAACACAATCATTGATAAAAACATAAAACATATACAAACAAAACTCACTACCTAGGTAACCATGATGTACAAGTAATCATTAACTCCACCAATTGCAGACCACAAACATGTCAAAGAACATCTTAAAG